TTAGGTGAGGGCATGAGTAGTCGTGTCCAGAACAGTTGTGTCCAATATTGTGTGACGTTAGAAGGACAGATAAAAAAAATAGGTGATTAGATGTACCTACGTAGTTAGCGGTAGCTTTACCACCCAAGTTAAGGTAATAGGTTAAAACGTGCTGAGGACTGTATGGCATTAGGGTGGCTAAAAATGTAATGTCGAAAGCGTTTTCCCCTCAAGACTGGGCGCCTCTTGTTGTATATTATAGCCTTGCCCCTCTACTGGACCTCTGGAGGGATCGACCGTTAAAATGTTCATTACTCGTGGGAACAACATGGAAACAATAAATAAAAAAACAAAGAAAAATAAAAAATCGGTAAAAAAACTTTTAAGTTAAACGGTTTTATCTTATGTGCACTGAAAACTAGAAAATAATAATAACAATTAGGTATTTTGAACGTCTAGTTCCTACCTATGGCAAAGCATATCTTTATACTTTGGTAGATCATGAGCTCGGCGTTCGCTGGTGAAGCCGCCACGGCTGGTTATTGATTGTCAAAATCTCCAGTTACGATTATAGTAAGTCGATGCAATCCACACTTAGTATAGAAGAAAGTATTACAGCAATAGTTAATGGGCCCCACGTTTTTATTTTAGTCTAATATGCCTAAAAGCTATTCTGCCTAGTACTAAAATATTTCTAAACTAGAAGTTCAAAATACCTAATTGTTATTATTATTTTCTAGTTTTCAGTGCACATAAGATAAAACCGTTTAACTTAAAAGTTTTTTTACCGATTTTTTATTCTTTTGTTTGTAGTTTCCAGTAGAGTGCAGGTCTCAGATGCATAAGTAGCGATAGGAAAAATCAATGTATTTTGTAATTTTAATTTGTTGTGCTGAGATATTGCAGAGTTTTGTTCGCTTGTTCCGTATAAAGGCAAACATATTTAACTATTTCTTTTGAGATCTACAACTTGATAGAAATAAAAGCTACAACGTGATGCATGGTACCAATTTAGACCTAAAATGCAGCCGTGTTTTCTACAATTTGGGATTTATTACATTTTTTTCCGTGTAACCGTAACAAATATATTGCATGATATAAGTTTTATTTGCACTCTTTACTTTAGTTTCTTCATAAATTTTATTTCATATTTCAAGTACTTCTAGAATGTAAAATTTACGTAAAAGTCGTATCTGAATTTCATCATTCTCAAAAAGACAAAACTGGAATTGAATAGGTGACATGGTATGTAGAAAATTGATAAAATTTTATGCACCCGGTTCTATATCGTGACGCGTTTTATAGCTCTTCGTAAATTTTAATGGTTTCAACATTCTTTCTTCTTATAGTTCATCCTGATAACTGATGTTTATATTTAAGGAATTTATGTAAGTGTGCATACATATAGAGTGTGTAAAGAAATAAGTGGACTATAGCAAACTATAGTAAAGAGTAAAGACAGTATTATACAGTCCGTCGCAATATTTTTGAAAAAGTAATTTTGATTTTTTTTTAAAAAGAATGGAAGATTAATCACAAAAAGTAGTCTTAATGTTAAGGGTTTAATGAGAAGAAAACGAAATTTATGGAGTGGTCAGATAGAGGTTTTGAGAAGGGAAAATTATTGTACTGTTGATATCAAAGTTGTTGTCAAAAAATATATAGATAGATATAGATGATATAAAATAAATCCCCCAAATGGCAATGGGCAGGACAGTTGACAAAAAAAACGGACAACAGATGGTTTATGGTCCATTACAACCAGTTACAGCATGGTACCCACGAGGAATTAATAGAGCTAGAAGAAGACCGAACTTGAGATGGGATCATGATATTGAGAAATTAGCAGGAATCACATGGGCCCGCAAGATAATAATGGGCTTAACTACAAAAGGAGTATGTGATGTAGGCTACACTATAATTGGAAATGTTTGAATAAGCTGAAAATGATGATGATGATGATGGCATATCGTCTATTTAACGAGAGGGTCGCTGGCAGTCACAGTTATGTCTGTCTATTTAATTCACAGGCACATTGCACTTCCTGTCATCTTTAGAATGACGTCTGTCAGACAGACTGTAGTTCACTTAAAAAAATGATAAACTTTTTTTAGTGAGAAAGATGGACGTGTCAAGATGGACATCTGCGTTTTTTCTGCCATCGTCTATCGAATTCTTTCTTGATTCGTTCTACAGACTATAATCACAAATTACCTATAACAGATGCGAAAGAAAGCGACTGCATCGGAAACGGCTCGGCAAACCCGACACGCCTATTGAGTGGTGTAAATACACCAGTCGTTTAGTCCGGAAACCTATGCTGTGTCGTATTCGCTTGCTGGAATGATATAGTGCGTGGTTATATGTTTCTTTTTAAAACGCGTGTAGGATTTTTGTTGAACTTTTTGAACTGTTATTTCTAAGTTTTGGTAATTTGTATATCTTATTTAAAATGGAATGCAAATGTGTTTATTTATAAGGAAAAAAAAGATATTTATAGTATAAAAATTAATTTATTTAACAAAATTTAATTAAAAATGTGACAAAATAGTTACCTTTCTATTGGTTCTATCGGACTTTTTCGACTATATAAATCTTTATTTGTAAACTTTAATACATCAAATATTTTCAATCTAATAAATCATTTAATGATGTAAATAAGAGGAAATTTCTCACATGTGTGGTCAAATTTTATAGTTTTCACTCGAGTTTTCATTATATCAAACAGCCTCTGAGAAATGTTTTCAACTCAAAATGCCTTTAATTATGTTTGACTACATCATTAAAAAGGGTCTTCAAATACATCAATGTGATATTTGTCTAAAATTTGCGAAAGAATCCGAATCTCTGGATAACTCGAAATTATTTACCCATTTAAAAGCCTTTGATCATGAAAATGGAAAAATTTGTTAATTTTATTTACAGGCTGGAAAAATTATTTATATTAAATTTTGATGAGTTTTGCACTGAAGAAAACATTCAGAGGCTGTTTGATATAATGAAAACTATAGAATTTGACCACCTATGTGAGAAATTTCCTCTTATTTATATCATTAAATTATTTATTAGATTGAAAATATTTTATGCATTAAAGTTTACAAAAAATAAAGATTTATATAGTCGAAAAAAGTCCGATAGAACTAATAGAAATGTAACTATTTTGTCACATCTTTAATTAAATTTTGTTAAATAAATTAATTTTTTATACTATAAATATCTTTTTTTTCCTAATCTCCGACGAGCTGATATAATATGACGAGCAATCTATTAAATTACTGTGAGATTATACAGAAAAGTCCACAGACTTCGAGGCATAGAAAAATCAAGTCCATTTAGCGTGTGTCCTAATTTTGACAAGTTTTCAAAAATGACAGTTTTGTTTAGACTGACGTTTAATTTCACCTGACTTCTCGGTGAATTATTTCTTTTTATGGGGGTACATAAAATCTAAAATTTACGGCCATGAAGAAATTCAAAACTTGGAGCAGTTAAGGCAGAAAATATTTAATGCCTTTGACACTGTCACCCCTGATATGTTATCCAATGTGAGGAGGGATTTTATGATCGTTTGGGTTATTGTTTAATGCAAGAGGGAGGCACTTTTCAACAATTTTTGTAATTTTTTAAATTTCATTATCCTGTTTTTTTACCGTTTACCCATTACCTACCTTGACGAACATGGGAAAACGAAGGTCCTTTTCAGGACCACAAATATTTTGATTGAGAAAATGGGTAACTTTTTTTGGATTAAAAAACAAAAGTTGTTAATATAATACCAATTTAAAAGTGTTTTAGTAGTTTTAATATACACTATGATATATAAAATTTATTATTATTATAATGTACATTATTAATACTAGTGTTCATTCGAAATGGCATTAAGGCCCAATTGCAACAATGATTTAAATTTTTCTTAAAGATAAGTAGAGCTTAGAATGAGCTGTATTTATATTTACTTTAATATTCACCTTAAATGAGGGAATTTGACTGATAAAATTTTTGAATTTGAATTGTTTTTAATGATACTAACAATTTTAGTTCAATTTTAATAAAAATTTATTTAATATTAATAGAAATCCAAGAGATTTGAAACCTCTTTTAGCGATTTATAACATTCTCAAATGAATTACAGGTGCCCTTATTTTCTATGAAAATCATACAGCTTTTTTCATAGTCGCTGCAGCTGCTATAGCTATAAAAAACTAATTTTTTAAGGTGTGAAAATTGCGACACACGCTAAATGGACTTGATTTTTCGTATGTCTCGAAGTCTGTGGACCTTTTTGTATGCCTAGATAACATATTGATGCAGATTATTTTCACCCAAACAAATAATAAGCCAAACTATACATTGATGCGGATTGTCTATGAACTCTTTCTGAAGGTCACAGAAACCTGAACGCGTAATTCGGTGTTCTTTCGCATCTGTTCTAGTTAATTTGTGCTATAATCATAAGTTATTACTATTTGAAACTGCTGTAAGTTTTCAAAAATATATTAATATAGTTAGTTCTCTATATTAACATGGTTCGAGCATTACGCAGCAGATTACCATGGCGACGAGACATCAACACGTTCGGCAAACATGAGGGCACTCGCTAATGTCGCTCGTAAACAATCGAAAAGAGTTAAAAGCAAAACATTGACTCGCTCTAAATGGATGTCTTCGACGTCGACACACCGTTATGTTCCTATTTGAAATTCACACTTGACTGGACAACGCGCAAACCATTTTTCTTCGTCATTTTATATTTATTTTACTTCTTTTACCGAGCAGTCGTTGTCCTGAAGCAATGACTGTCATTATAAGACTTTTTATCTTTTTATGCCTAAAGGGTACTAAATTTATTGTTATTCTTCTGTTTTTGGATTAGTTGATAATCATCTCTCAATATCTTGACTTATTTTAGCTTTAATATATTTTTTCTATACGGAACTTTCTTCCTGTAGTTCCATAAGTCATAACTCAGTTTACTAGTTCCGTTCGAATTTTATTTAAAACATATATTTGACACATGACAAATGATAATAATAGGAGTATATGCCCCTAGCGACGATGCGGATCCTTTAACAAAAGATATGTTTTTCAATAAACTAACGCACATAATATCCGACATTAAACACGATAAAGAATTATTCTTACTGGGAGACTTCAACTCAAGAACGGGAACAGAAACCAATAGCCCAGTGGTGGGGCAGTACGGAGAGAGGTCAACCAACGACAATGGTCTCAGGCTAAGAGGCATGTGCGAAAGCCTAAATTTAAAAATTATGAACGGCTTCTTCCCTCATAGAGACATTCATAAATTGACGTGGACTCAACCAACTCGCCAGCTACGCTCCATAATTGACTATCTGATACAGCGACAAAACTCAAAACTAAAAACCATTGACGTAAGGGCTTACCGTGGAGCAGAATGTGGATCGGACCATCATTTGGTGGTATCAAATAATATATATATTTGACATCAATTAAACATTTAGTTACGTAAAATTCATTGTTGCCAACCATGGACATTATTCGGCAATGGGCTGACTAAGTACTGTAATTTAAAATTCAACCAACTCGCCAGCTACGCTCCATAATTGACTATCTGATACAGCGACAAAACTTAAAACTAAAAACCATTGACGTAAGGGCTTACCGTGGAGCAGAATGTGGATCGGACCATCATTTGGTGGTATCAAAATGAGTTTTGATTGTGCTCTTGCTACTCCAGTTATACCGTATGATTGAATAAAAACGGCATCAGCGATAGCTATGAAATAAAGATCGTTGTCATTTTATATGTAAAATTATATGAAAATGTCATCGATCGTCATTTCCAAGCCAACTGGACAATGTTTTTTTTCGATCATACGGTATTTGGTGCCCGATAGAGTTGCTTTAATCCTTCATTTGTTCTTCTGGTCCTTTGAATAAGAAGACTAAGGAAGTAGCATAATGCTATCCATGTATTCATGCATGGTGGGCGGAAAAAGCTCTCTAGGGTGGGGATCCTTGACAGTTCTGTTTGACGATTCATTTGACACATTTGAATTTGATTTGAAATTTTGTGGATTTGTCAGTCTTTACAAGGAGCTTATTTTATGTTATTTATTATTTATTCTACTACTGATAGTTGTATAAAGGTAGCAAATCTAGATGGAAATTGTGGCAGAACTTAAATTAACAGTGACACTATCGCGATTTATCGAAAAAGACTCTAAAATAGTTGGTTGTGTAGCGTGCGGTAGATCTCGGCAAAATTGAGTGAAATAATGGAACAACTTTTTCGCTAGCAAGTGACTATATAATATACATACGTGTGGTAAACCGATCATTTATGAAATTCACTGAAATTAACTAAATTATATATTTTTTCTTTGCATTTTAGCTTTTATTTACTACTTGTCAAAGATCAGATGTCAAAGAATTTTGATACGTTAATTTCACTTACCTGCTTCAGTAGCGAATCGGATGTTTGTGTTAATAAATACTTATTATAACTTACCTATTTTTATTAGAATTATATATTTTTATAACAATTTTAATAACTACCAACATTTATTCACACCGTAAAATAAAATAACAAATTATTGAGTCTACCCCACGTCTACCCTACATCATAGTTTTACATTTTTTAAATAAAATTAGAACGGCACTGATAAACTGGAATTTAAGTCGGCCATATTTGAGGCCCATCGCGGTGTACCTAAGATTTTTGATATGCTCCTTCCTTAGTCTTCTTATTCAAACTTCTGGTCCCTATATTGTCTATCTTCTTTCCTCCAAAAATCTTCCTCAGTATTTTTCTTTCCCAAATATCTAGCCTCGAACTTTCCGTTGCATTGAACGTCCACGTTTCACATACCTACAGCACTATTCGTCGTATCATTGTTTAGTATATTCTGATTTTTAAACTTCTAGAGATGTTCTTACTCTTAATAATTTTCTGTAATGCGCTGACACATCTATTTCCTGCCATTATTCTTGGCATAATTTCTTGAGTTACATTTGGTTTCCTTAGAAATACGGCTTCTAGATATGTGAATGTATCTACTGTCTCAAACTTGTATCGTTTCTCTCCCTCAGAATCTATTTGCAGACATTTATTATATATGTATATCTTTTTGGTATGTGGTGTTTTGTTTTTGTTTATTAACACATACCGCTTTTTTTAAATACATAAAATAACTCGATTACATTTTTTCAGTTTTATACAGTTTTTTTTTCAGTTTTATACAGTTGTACCAACTTAAAATAAAATAAACTACTGTGACATTAAAATGACAGACACATATCACTGTCAAGGATCTTGTCGTTGAACAGACTATAGTAGGTATACCAGCCGCCAGCCGCTACATGTATTAAATTTTAAAATATAGGAAAGTTTTGTTTGGTTTGGTTTCATCAAAGTTTGGTTTGTGAAAAACGGTGTGGAAAAACAATTCCACGCCGTTCAATGTATACTACTGCTTTTCTTACGTTTTTCTTTCGTATTTTACTTTTATGTTTATCTACTTATTTCTCCGAGATAATTCCCATACAGACCAAACGATAATGGCAGTACCTCATTGGAATATTTAAATCGCACCTTGTACGAAACACGGCAGATCGAACGTCCAGCGGAACAGTCGTAACAAGTAATTTGACCCTAGTCGTACGCCATCTGGCAAATGGTACCTCGGATTTTGCAATTTGCACTGCTTTATAGACATATGCTGCTGCTGCTGCTACCTTTGTGGCTTTATTTGTCAATACGTTACTTGAAAGGACGTAATGTTACCGTGGCGTGCAGGCAGTAGGCACGAAATGTGTTTAGAAGTACCACAGTGGTGTGGTACTCTGAATTCGATTATATGGTTTTGGTACGATGAAATATTAACGTTGAAAAGGTTTCTTTTAGCATATTCTGTAGACAAAAATAAGTAAAAAGTTCGTATAAATTTATTTAATAAAATGTTTCATTTCGGCGAGATACAGGGTGTAGGAGTATCATTTTCATCTCTGTTTTTTCCAAATAATTTCTGAACTATTTGGATGAAAATTTCACACCTCTACTTTTCAACCAATAACATGCTTTAATGTTGACTAGTTACCATGGCAACTGAAAAAATTTCCGGAAATTTTTTCGAGGCGCCACGAAACTTTAGTGGAAATTTTTTGACAGTTGAAAAGGTAAACATAAATACAATCATAATGTGAATGAACTACAATGTCTATATATTGAAATATTACCCATTTGAGTTTTAGCATTTGATGTAACTAAGGTTGGTAATATTTTTTATTTAAGGAAATATGTTAGATATACCTACATATGAATTTCTTCGAAATTGCCATGTTCTAAAAAATATAGTTCTGCCGCCTTTATTTAACTAAAGCTGGTATTTTTCTATTTAACGAAATATGATGGATATATCTATATGATTTTTTTAGAATTTATTTCATGTTGAATTATCTTCAATGCCAAATCTTTAATGATATCGACTAATATAGCAAAATAATAACGAAACACATTTAGTAATTATAGGTTTTATTAATATTAAAAACACAATTATTGTAAATGTTTGTAGGCTGGCTTGAATTGGTGGTTTGAATCTGGGTATTTTCTGTTTTATTTTGCATTGTGCTCTGATCATGATTGAACTGGCTAGTACTTGATGAAATGCTCCTCATGGATTCAATCATCTGTTGATGATGTTCAGCGTCCAACTGTAAGTAAGGTTTGATCGACTGACTATTACTATGTCCAGTAATTTTAATGAGCTGTTGTTCACCAACTCCTTTCTTGGCCAAATTCGAAACAGCTGTTGCTCTTGCAGAATGATTGGTTATTTTAACTTTTTTAGTGTCAATTCCTATATCTGAAGCTGCTGATTTAAACCATGAAGATACAATGTTCTTACCAACTGGGCTATTCTTGTACCATCCTTTCGAATTGGGTTGATTCCAGTATGGGTTTGGTGTTAAGAATAGTCTGTCGGTTTGAATAAGATTTCCCCTTTTTTCCATCAACTTTCTAAACAAGCGAACCGGACACATTTGTGGATTTTCGAAATTTCTAATCAACCATTTACTATCCGACAGTTTTTTAGAACCACCTTGTGTGGTTTTAGAGAAAATTGGATTATATTCTATCCGACCTTTTGGGTTTCCGAAATTATCAGTTTCTTCTTTGAAGTATTGGATACAAGCAGAATGTCCTTCCCCTCCTCTCCATGCCAGCTCATGTGAAACTATGTGAAAAAATTTACGCTGCAACCCATCTGGAGTATTTTCATCCCACATTTCAATAATTTTTTTGTATTCGTCACTGGTTAAGGCTGAAGCACTCACTTTTCTTTTTGCTGAATCTCTCTGTAGTATTTTGCGCTTAGCATCGCGTGCAGCTCTGGCGGTCACAAATTCCACATCAGAAAACGGATTAAATTTTATTTTATATTTTTCGTAATAAATTTCTTGCAACTGCTTAGCAGTAGAGTTCCACATCACTTTGACCACACTTTCCTTATAATCTTCAAAATTTTTCTTTTTCATATTAAATGCGTAGTCCTCCAGTATAGTAGCCAGCTGTACTACACTCATACACTCATGAATATTATACGACTTTTCATCACAAAATTCAACAAACTGTTTCCATACACTTGATTTTGATTTTCGGGTGTTATCTGGTTTTATATTTTCAATTTCTTCTTTAATGACTTGTTGGTTTACTTTTCCAAATCGCGACATTTCGCTATACACTTCTTACTCTACGTACAGACGTTTTAAAACTAGTAATAGCTTAATGACAGAATCGCAAACAAAAATGACAAAACACATAATATGTCAAAAACATCAATACCTTGGCCAACTTAACAAATTGAAATTATTTTAAAATGTACAGTGGTGTGGTACTCTGAATTCGATTATATGGTTTTGGTACGATGAAATATTAACGTTGAAAAGGTTTCTTTTAGCATATTCTGTAGACAAAAATAAGTAAAAAGTTCGTATAAATTTATTTAATAAAATGTTCCATTTCGGCGAAATACAGGGTGTACTCATTTTCATTTCGGTTTTCTCCAAACAATTTCTGAACTATTTGGATGAAAATTGGTGTCTGGGTATTTTTTGACATGAGAAATTCGATTTCGGTGTAAGTATGACTCGTACTTATAGGAAGCGATACTGCATGACAAATACCAAGGGAATCTTGGTTTTGTATTTGCTAATCAGTAAGTAATTGGATCTCAGCTATATGTAGGTTCTGCCAATCTGAAGAAGAAATGTCAGAACACATTTTATGTCGGTGTGACAGCCTGGCAAATGTGCGGTTCACGGTATTAGGCAATGATAGGCAATTGCCAGGGAGCTACATGGAGGGTTCAGTCTCCAAGTTGCTAAACTTTGTGAAAAGGATAGGACTGGAAAATGTAATCTAAGGATCAGAAGAGGACCACAATAGATCTGAGAAGGTCGCAGTAATCTAATCTAATCTAAT